GGCACCAGCATAGGATGAGGTCGTTGTAGCAATCTGAGACAGCTACATTGTTTATGGTGAAGGGCAAGAAGGACAAGGAGGGTAAACACCGGTGATGCTGGTGAAGTTTCGTTGGCCATAGATTCCATCGTAGAAGAAGTTGGCCACAGTCTGGGGCATCAACTTATGGTTGTCTGAGATGAGGTGTTTCTAGGAGCGACAGACACATTTGCAGCAGAACAAGGAGCGGAGGGAGAGGCGGTGGAGGATCTCGACAAAGACATCGTCCATGAGGCTGGCCAGTGCGTTCCACTTGTTGGAGGCCTCCTCCATTTTGTCAGTGTGCATGTAGTAGGATGAGAGCTTGCTCAGTAATGAGATCACTGAGCAGGAAAATAATCCAACAATGATCCATCAGTGAAGTCCACAACTCATACCAAAGTGCAACTTTAACAACCATTAACAATTTTCATGGTACGACCTCATCTAAATTTAGAGTAGCATCACATAGATATATATAACTCAAACTATAGTAGCAGTTAATGAAGCTGTAACCATTACAATTCTAGCTAAATCAAGTCTAACCATCACACTTAAAATCAGTACACGAGCTCAGAGCTTCTTCCATAGGAGACAGACAAAGATTAAGAGGACTACAATTACAATAGTTTTCAAGGACAAAGAGGCTGGAGCAGCTGTTGGGTTTTGAAGATAGAAGTCATCATCATGAGCTAAGGGTGGATTTGAGTTGGTTCTTGACTTGAAGGCAGCAATTCCTTCTTCATAGGAGTTGTACTTTTTATAACAAGCACCACAAAACCTATGAACTGGTTCATGGCAGTCAGGCCAGTTGTAGTAAACTCCTAGCTCACAGCCATGGAACACAACATAGTAGGGACAATTCATCTCAAATCTACACAACCCAAATAGGCTGCTTCACTTTTCACAAGTAGAATGTCAGTGAACAAGTGGTAGTGATCATCATTGGCATTAGAAGCAACATGTGCAACTTAAACATTATTGGCCTCAGTCATGTGAATGATGGACACAAAGTATTGATTTGCTTTTGATGTCTTCCTCCTGTTTGGAACCAAATGGATAACTTGGTTGTCAATAAGGAGAAGACACAGAAAGCAAACATATGAGTTGCATCCTAATACATCCAACAGCCATGTAGACATCATTGTCATCGAAATGTGGCCTCAGATATGTTACAAGTTTAAAACACCATAAGGACTCACTGGTGGCACTAGAGCATATGAAACAGAAATGTAGAATCAAGCAAGCACTGGACAGAAAAAATAGTTTAAGGCAGAAGCGAAGGGCCTGTATGTTTGCCTAGATAGATAGATATAATCAAGCAAGCACTTGACAATTAACAGGTCTAGTTGCATACAGGCATTTACAGTAAAGACACTGAACATATACAGAAAACCAAGACACCAGCAGAAAACCAACCAGTGCCACCTCCTACTTCTTTTCATCAGCATTGGCCTAACCAGATCTGCAACGCTACAATATTTCTTGTATAACTCATGTTCAAGAACCAAAACAGTGAAGCGAACAGGAAAAGGCGAGAAAGGAGACCTACAGATCGAATCTATCGTCTTTGCCGCGGCACACGACGAACACGGATGCCAATGCCACCGCGCTCCACTGGGAAGACCCGCGGCCTAGCCTCCAAAAGGACACCTGAGCCACCACAGCAGCACACCGAGGATCCTCCGTGCCGCCGCCACCGTAAGTCCAACGGCCACAGATTTGTTTCCACTTGCAGGGGATATATCCAATATATAAGTCAACCTATCCACACAGAGAACATATACTACTATGAGGACTTCAAAGACATGTCAACACAACCAGACATCTATCACAATGGTGAAGACAGTCTATTCCTTGCTCTAGGTCCCAAATTCGACTCCGACGTCTCATGGTTTTTTTGAGTTTGAATTTACTAAACCCCAGCGGCAACAAGTGACACGCAAGCCATCGGGTCCCATAGGACGGATGGAGATGGAGAAAGGTCCCACAGGTACACGTGACACATAAGCTGTCGGGTCCCAAAGGTCAGATGGAGAAGGGTCCACAAGTGACACGCAAGCTGTTAGGTCCCACAGGTCGGATGGAGATGGAGAAAGGTCCCATAGGTACACGTGACACACAAGTCGTCGGGTCCCACAGGTCGGATGGAGAAATGATTGAGCGGAGACTTTTATGACGAAAAAGGACCAAGCGAAGACTTTTATGATGAATTGCCAACGTCACGGATGAGTAACTGCAAGTCCCACATGTACACATCGGATGGAGAAAGGACCATGTGGAGATGTATGACCAAGTGTCATTCGTTACAGATTGAATATTATTCATCACAGATTTGTAATTAGTTCAATGACGAAGCCGTGGTCGTCACAGTTCTTAATAAGATCGTCACAGATGAGCAGGAACAGTCGAGCGAGTAATTTGTGACGAAACCATATGCTGTTCTATGACGTTTTTTGTAACGATATCCGATTTCATCAAAGAAAAGGGGGGTTCGAGGATCGTCACCGATGATCTATGATGAAATCGAAATATTCGTCATAAAAAGCGATTTTTATGACGGTTTCGGATTCGTCATTAAGATTTTCATCATATAAGTGGATATTTCTATTAGTGGCTCCGTCTTCCAGGGATTTTGGGTAAACATGTTGCGCCGCACCCGTTCCCGCGTTCACGCCTGTGACCTCTCGACTTCTCCGTGGTTTAATGGACCGCTTCTTGGGCCGCTTGTTTTCCTTCTCTGCGAAGGAACTAAAGGGCAGCTCGGTTTTTCATGCTCCGATAATTATTGCGCAAATGATTCAGTGTTTTGATTTCCATACTTTTTCTTTGACCCTGCTACAAGATTCATTTTTTATCTTCCAACAGGCTCGGAGACTAAGTGTGTACACTTCACCTGACGGTGAGTGTACTAATTTCTTTTGCAGTTTCATAGAGTCAGTTAAACTGGGGACTGGCTGCATTCTTAGTTAAACTGGGGACTTGCCGTATTCTCAGTTAAACTGGGGATTTGTTGTATTCTCAGCTAAGCTGGGGACTGATGGTATTTTCAGCTAAGCTGGAATTCGCCGTGATTTCTTCTTGATATTTCAATATTTTTTGTTTTGGACCCTAACACCAGGTGTATTCTACACCTAATCTCAAGCTCGGGGAATGTTCTTTGGCATGGCCTTGACTAAGTCTTGGTTGCTATGAATTTGCCATTATCATTCTCATATGACTAAGTCATTGCTGTTACTCCCCTGATAATGCGTTTGGTATCTAAGTGTGTACACTTCATCCACGGTGAAGAGTTTTTAAAATTTTCTTGAGCTCCTTACATCCTATTGGTGGGCCTTACTTGGCTAAACATGAGGTTTGTTGCCCAGTTAAACTGGTCAGCAGATGGTTTTACTAGTCGGCTGATCAATTAAACTGGTCGGTGTCCATTTCACAAGGTCTGGCAACCAGTTAAACTGGTCAGCTTCGTTTTCCACCATTCAGGTCATCAGTTAAACTGATCGGCTGCACGCTAGACTTCTCGAACTTGGTCAAGGCGGAGTCACCAAACGGATACAAGGCACTCGGGGACTAGCTGTGGGGGTCTGACCCTAGGTACCCACGGCACAAGACATGGGCCGCACCGCAAGGGACGGTCCAACCCACAAGATCAAGGCGCAGCTCACGGCACAGCTCGGCGCACGCCGCAAGACATCTCGGCGATATCCTGAAGATAGCATAGAACCGAATGTAATATTTCATGTAAAGATTATATGTTACACAATTAGATTTAGGCCTGATCGGCATGTAACCCTACCTCGGCTATATAAGGAGGGTAGGGGACCCCCTCAGAACTCATTCAATCTCATACGATAGACAATACAAATCGGTAGAACACAGGATTAGGGTATTACATCGAGCTGATGGTCTGAACCTATCTAATCTTATGTCTATCACCATCTTGCTCCTATTCACGCACACCTCTCCGATCAATCTACATCGTGGGTATTCCCTCGGTGGACTGCCGAGCATATTTAGTCGACAGTTACTGTGCGGGCAAAGACCCGAGCGATTTCTAGTGCAGGGCTTAGGTCCAGCTCTTGTCGTTCGGGAGTCCCCCAGCCCCGAGCGACGGCAGGCGTGCTTTGGCTCGTCCTGACCCCTGCAGAGGGTACGCGCGAGCGTACCCAAGCGATAGCCCCCTAAGCCCCTAAGCGATTCACAGAGTCAATCGAGGGCTCTAAGCCCCTAAGCGATTCGCAGAGTCAGTCACGGGCTCTGTTGATCCACTATCTCCTTTTCTGAGACTTAACATAACCTGTGTTAAAGACTCTCGTCAGTCGGGCTTGCTGCGTGCAATTGGCCGAGGTTCCCAAGCTAATGATCCTAAGCAAACATGACTGAACCTACAAATGCCATCAAAGCCAAGCTTATCTCTACGCTGCTATCGTTCATGTCTTGGCTGCCGTCCGTAGTACATGAGGCCCCGCATTATAAGCTCAGGTTTGTTGTGCAAAATTTCAGGCAAATTTTAGAAGAAAACCCTACGAAATCAGATGTGGAATTCTCATATGGTAACCTGATGGCAAGTATTCTCAATTCTGTCGTCACAATGTTCCAATGTTCCAAGAAAACTCATGCATTGAACGGGTGATACGCCATAAAAGGTACTACAAAAATGTTGGCAGGTTAGGTCTTGCCATGCGCAGAAAACTGGTGCGCTTCTATTACAATGACCAGCAACGAGCCAACACCACATTGATAGGCTAAAAACGTATGAATATACTGGTCAACAAAAATCCTAAGATGTACATCCTCACAAATGTAGCTTAGAGTGATTGTACAATGAAACTGCTCCAGATAAACTAGCAGGCAAATAACAGATCCGTGTGTGCACTAAATCAAGCTATTATTGACCTGTAGTATCAGTTTGTATACCTCATGACGATGTGCCTTGGTGTCAGTTTAGGCCATATGGGCCTACCATGTAATGATCTGCACACTTATGAACGATCTTCGTCATGTGTATGATTTGGGACCTCTCCTTGATTGTCTAGTGGCATATACTGTGCCATGATAGCTCTAATCTCAGAGTCCATGTATGACTGAAACAAAAATAGGGAAATGTAATTCAGTTGATATTAGTGAACAAAAACTAGCAAAAAGTTGAAATGTGTTTGAAGAAAATTTACAATATCATGTATCCGTCATCAGCAGTAAAAAATTTGATCTACATGTGAACTACAGCTGACAAAATATTTGAGCATATCAACTACCAAAAACAAGCTACTGCTAAAATCTATTCATGACATTTCTATTGCAAACTAAACGGCACAATATCAGAGCAGAAAGCTGCCACAATTCATATCTATGTTAAACAAGTCACTCCCTTGCAACAGATGCTGTTAGAACGAGAACCTAAATTATGGTTTCTAATGTGTAGCAGATATAATGCCACCATTCCATAGTACTAAAACATGAAGCATTTACCCAGGTAAATCAATATATGATTATGATGTAATGGGTACACAGCATTTCTGCCTTCTTTTCAGTAGAATGTATAAACTGACGGAGAACTCAATCTTCCAGGTTTAGCAAGCCACACGGAGGTGGAAAATAGGTAAAATGTACTTGACGTCACAAGGACTGGGGTCACAAACATGTACCAACAAGAAAGAGTCGGACAAGTTACGTGTACACATGGCAAAATAAAAGTGACAAAAAATAATGTACACTAAGTATGAGTAAGTGAAACACAAGCTGTAAAATGCAACATCTGGTTTACGGCTACATGTTATTATGGATGCAAGTTTGTTCTCTAGGTCATTGGATCAACCCAAAACTCATCCAAATGAATAAAAAAGTTAAAATGTACAGAAGACAACTAAAGTGACCTAGAACTACCCACTGGTTATTGAACTGTAGTATCAGTTTGTATCCCTATGTCCTAGTATGTTTTACTTCCATCACTATGTTTTGGATGCATCATTAGTCAAATGTTAAGTACTTAAGTGATAGTACAACAGCACCGATTTCTATATCAAGTTGATCATACACTTGCCTTTTTCATGCAAATTAGACTAGTTGGATATGTCTACACGTGATGGCACAAATCCAGCCATCTGCTTAATATAAAAGGGATAATACAAAAATCTCAAAGGGTAAGTCTTTAGGAAATGGAATCTATTTAACAAAAATAGATACTCCTACATTAGGAATAGGCTCATAGATAGAAAATCACTCATCGTGAAACATGGTCAAACAACGAAAGAACAAAAGTAAGGGTGTGCATGTGCTAGCTTACCCTTAGTCTGTATTTGTATACAACATAACTTCCCGCTGCCACAACAGCAACAATTATCAAGATACCCCACACAGCAGCCCATGCTGCTTTAGCCTGAACTGCTGTCTTGCCTGCAGATTAACCATTCACATATACACAATTGATACACTAAGGATAAGCAAAAGCTATCAGTTCAGTTCAAAAATTACTTATGCAGGTGTCATGCTCTCTGATGTACAAATGGTCAACACTGCAAGTGCAGTCATAGCCACCCCATGTATCTCTGCAGTTGCATTCAGGACACTGACAAGCTTTTCTCTCCTTGCACTCATCAATGTCTGCAAAAGTGAATTAAAAGAAATATGGTTTATGGCATGCTGTATCTGATAGTTAAGCCTAGTGCTATGTATCATACTTTACTGTTTCCTGTCATTTACTTTTCAGGCTACTAAGCCTTGTATAGGAAGATGCTCAGCATCCACTTTAGTGGTTAGCATATGCTGGAGCAGGTAGACCACTTTGCTCACTTCCATTCAATCCAAGCGGCCTAGTGCCAAGCTGCCCTCTGGCAGCCCCAAATCTAAGATCCATTTGTGGTGTTGTGGCCAACAATTGGTATCTAGAGCCTAGGGTTCTTGAGTGAACCAGCCATGTCCACCGCTAACCAAATCGAGAGAGCGCACGCCGCTGTTGCCAGTGCGGTGATCAACCCCGGTGGTCCAACAGCAGGAGGAGCCGACGATCGGGCCACGCGCCTTGCTACCGCAGAGGCGGCGGCTACGGCCCTGGCCGCGGCTGCAGCGCGGCGCGCCGAGATGGAGCGGGAGCCGGCTGGTGGATCACGAAGCCCGGACAGGCGCCGTCGCTAGTCGCCATCACCAGAGCGGCGTCGTGGGCGCCGTGGCCGTTCTCCGATGGTGCAGACGGTCTACCGCGACTCGGGAGCGGGGATGCCATGGCCAATGCTCACCAAGTCAAACTACCACGAGTAGAGCTTGCTCATGAAGGTGAAGATGCAGGCCCGGCAGCTCTATGAGGCGGTCGACGTTGGCGGCGTGAGCTACAACGACAATCGGCGGGCGCTTGAGGCGTTGTGCGCCGCCGTGTCTACGGAGCTCGCCGCGTCCCTCGCCAACAAGCGCACGACGAAGCAGGCGTGGGAGTCCATCACCACAGCGCGCATCGGCGACAACAAAGTATGCCGCGCGACGCTACAGCGACTCCGCCAGGAGTAGGAAGGGCTCGCCTTCCACCCCGGTGAGCAAGTCGAGGACTTTGCCCTCCGCCTCTCCAATCTGATGCAGCAGATGGCGCGGAGCGGCGACACCGACCTCACCGAGGCTCGCGCGGTGGAGAAGCTCCTACGGTGCATACCGAAGAAGTACGCCCGGATCGTGCTCGCAATCGAGACGCTCCTCGATTTTGAGGTCCTCTCTGTCGAGGTGACCGGGAGGCTGAAGGCGGTGCAGGACCGCGAGGAGGCGCCTCACACCGAGCCGGGCGCTCTCGGAGGCAAGCTGTTGTACACCGTTGAGCAGTGGCGAACCTTCGAGGAGGACGGCGCCAGATCGTCGAAGGAGTGCCGTCGGCGTCCCCATGGCGGCAAGAAGAACAAGCCCAAGGGTGATCGCAACGGCGGTGGAGGACAAGCAGACAAGGCAGGCACTGCCAGCGGTGAACACATGGCAAACAGCGACAACACCTGCCTCAACTACAACGGCGCCGAGCACTAGGCCAAGGATTGCCCTTTTCCCCGGCGTGAGCGTGGCGGCGCAGCGAACATCGCGGAAGCAGAGGAGGCGGCTGCCCTGTTTCTCGCCCACGGATTCCTGGAGCTAGACGCAGAAGGGAGCAGTGGCAAGGCGCAAGCTTCGACCTTCTGCACCAAGTCCGCCACTAGCGAGCCGCGAGCCCGTGCCTTCCTCAACACCGGCTCCGGTGAGGACCAGCTCGATGGCCGACAGTGGCGCCACCCACCACATGATCGGTCGCCGCGAGCTATTCACCGACCTCGACTGCAATGTGTGTGGCTCGATGAAGTTCGGCGATGCCTCAAGGGTGGAGATTCAAGGCGTCGGCTCAATCGTCTTCGAGGCCAAGACCAGCGAGCATCGGGTGCTTCATGGTGTCTACTACATCCCGGCATTGCGCAACTCGATCATGAGCCTCGAGTAGCTGGACGAGGGTGGCTCGAAGGCGGAGATCGACAAGGGCGTGCTGGGGATCTAGGATTGGCGCGGCCGGCTTTTGGTCAAGGTCCGGCGAGGTGCGAACCACCTCTACGTCCTCCACCTCGAGACGGCCCAACCGCTCTGCCTCGCCGCACGCAAGGATGACGAAGCTTGGCGCTGGCACGAGCGGTTCGGGCATCTCCACTTCGAGGCGTTGCACAAGCTTGGCAAGGAGGCTATGGTGCACAGATTGCCGGGGATCAAGCACGTCGAGCAGTTCCGTGACACCTGCGTCATCACGAAGCAGAGAAGCGCCTTCCCGGCTGAAGCCCAGTACCCCGCTCCTAGGAGCAGCTCGAGCTCGTCCACGGCGACCTTTGCGGGCCCGTGACGCCGGTGACTCCTGGAGGTCGGCGCTACTTCTTGCTGCTGGTGGACAATGCCACCCGGTTCGTGTGGGTGGTCCTCCTGCTGAGGCGGAGAACGAAAGTGGCCGCAAGCTCCAGGTGCTGCGCACCGATAACGGCCGGGAGTTCACGTACTGCACGGATGAAGGCATCAAGCGCCACTTCTCCGCCCCCTACTCGCCGCAGGAGAACAGCGTCGTTGAGCGGCGGAACCAAACCGTGGTGGCCACGGCGCGGGTGCTGCTAAAGCAGAGGGGGTTGTTGGCCAAGTACTGGGGGGAGGCGATGGTGACGGCAGTTCATCTGCTTAACCGATCGCCGGCGAAGAGTTTGCAGGGCAAGACCCCATACGAGGCGTGGCATGGGCGATCGTCGACGGTGACGCACCTCTGCACGTTCGGTTGCCTCGCCTACGCCATGGAGCTAAACCAGGTGAGGAAGCTCGGCCTAGAGTCTTCATCGGGTATGCTGAGGGCGCCAAGGCTTACCGCGTCCTCGACCCGGAGTCCCAGCGCGTGCGTGTGACGCGCGACGTCATCTTTGATGAAGGACACGGCTGGGACTGGACCAAGGTTGGGGAAGGCCCAGCATCAGCAGTGGAGGAGTTCACCGTCGACTACACGTGGATTGGAGGAGTTGGGTGAGCACAGAGTGCATCTCCATCGACAGCCGGGGCATCAACGCCGCCAGCAACGTCCCCAGCTCCGCCGTGCTCACCATCACCAAGTCCGGGGGAGCCCGGGAGCGCGACGGCAACAGCAGGCACTCCACCCACGCACCAGCCGACTTCATCAACGGCGTCTCCGGCTGTTGCGTCCCCTGCTTCCCCTACTGCCACACCACCGCCCGCCGATCAAGCTCCAATCGAGTACGCCAAGCCACTGGAGGATGATGAGGACCATCTGGACGCATTCTACGACGATGAGCCTCTCTGCTACCGCACGGTGACGAACATCATCAGCGACAGGACTCCACCAAGACAGGCGTCGTGGCTCTTCACCCAGCTGCACCTCACGCACACCGACGAGCCGACTACCTATGTTGAGGTGCAAGGCGATCCAGCATGGCGAGCGGCGATGGAGCAGGAGCTTGAGTCTGTCGAGAAGAACAAGACTTGGGAACTCGTTGATCTGCCTGCTGATCACCGCCCCATCACCCTGAAATGGGTGTTCAAACTAAAGAAGGATGAGAAGGGCACAGTGACCAAGCACAAGGCGCGGCTGGTGGCGCTCGGCTTCGTTCAGCAGGAAGGCATCGACTACGACGACACGTTTGGCCCCGTGGCGCGCATGGAGTCAGTCTGTGTCTTCCTCGCGATGGTTGCCCAGGAAGGATGGCGAGTTCATCACATGGACGTGAAGTCCGCATTCCTCAATGGCGACCTCAAGGTGTACGTGCGTCAGCCGCCAGGCATCGCTGTCGCCGGGGAAGAAGACAAAGTGTATCACCTGCGCAAGGCCCTCTACGGCCTGCGGCAGGCCCCGCGCGCCTGGAACGTGAAGCTGGACGCCACACTCAAGGCGATGGGCGTCCAACATAGCGTGCACGAGGCGGCGGTGTACCGGCGGGGCAGCGGGCGCACTGTCCTGCTCGTCGGCGTCTACGTCGGCAACCTCATCATCACCAGCGCTCAAGGTGAGGTGGAGAAGTTCAAGCAGCAGATGGAGAAGTTCGACATGAGCGACCTCTGCCTCCTCTGCTTCTACCTCGGCGTCAAGGTGCGCCGGGATGCCAACGGCATCACCCTTCGTCAGACATACTACGCCAAGCGCATCCTCAAGCTCGGTGGCATGGCTGGCTGCAACTCGGCATTCACCCCGATGGAGGAGCTCAGGCTCAGCCATCACAGCACGGCGGCAGAGGTGGACTCCACGCACTACCGGTGGCTTGTCGACAGCCTCCAGTACCTGGTGCACAACCAGCCGGACTTGGCGTTTGCAGTCGGGTTCGTGAGCCGGTTCATGGAGTGGCCCACAGTGGAGCTCCTGCAGGCCGTGAAGCGCGTTCTCCGATACGTGTCAGGCACACTAGACTACGGTCACTACAAGAGGGCTCCCAGCACGGCACGCTTTGTCGATTACTGTGACAACGACCTCACAAGCGACATTAACACAAGCAGGAGCACCAGTGGAACTATGTTCTTCCTCGGTGACTGCTTGGTCAGCTGGCCATCCATCAAGCAGAAGGTGGTGGCACTGTCAAGTTGCGAGGCAGAGAACATTGCCACTACCACTGCGGCAACACAAGCTCTGTGGCTGTCAAGGTTGCTTGCAGAGCTCCTTGGCAGAAAGGTCGATGTGGTGGAGTTGAAGTTGGACAGCAAGTCTGCTCTAGGTCTGGCCAAGAATCCAGTCTTCCATGACAGGAGCAAGCACATCCGTATCAAGTACCATTTCAACAGGGATTGCTTAGAGGAAGGGAGCATCAAGGCCAACGACATCGCCACTATTGATCAGCTGGCAGACATCCTCACCAAGTCGATGGGCAAGAGCAGGAGATGAGGGGAAGGATTGGACTGAGGCAGATCACCCAGCACCAGGCTTAGGGGGAGATTGATGGTTAAGCCTAGTGCTACGTATCTTACTTTACTGTTTCCTGTCATTTACTTTTCAGGCTACTAAGCCTTGTATTAGGAAGATGCTCAGCATCCACTTTAGTGGTTAGAATATGCTGGAGCAGGTAGACCACTTTGCTCTGTAAGTAGCAGTGGTGAGGACCTTCTTGTATCCCAAGTATTGAACTTCAATTCCATCCAAGCGGCCTAGTGCCAAGCCACGCTCTGGTAGCCCCAAATCTGAGATCCATTTGTGGTGTTGTGGCCAACAGTATCTGTTAGAGTAAATAGGAATAATAACACATTGTCTACCCACATGGGGTCTTAGTCCTATGCAATATAACGATTATCTCACCAATTCTATTCTCCTACATGTTATCACAAGTCTAGGTTTAATTCCTAACCCTAGCCGTTGCAGCTTCCGCACCGTGTGCCCCCGTGGAGAGGTCGATCTCCACCGGGGGCAGCGCCACCGTTTAGGCGCCGGTTCCTATTGAACCAGTTGCCATCTTCGTCATCGTTGTCGCACAGCAGATCAGGTCCACCTCTTCGCACTCGTCGTCGCTGCAATCAGGTTGTTGCCGCCTCGATCCAGATCTCCCCCGTGTGGAGGCAGCTGGGTCATACGATGTCCACGTGGTGGTGGCAGGTTGCAACGTGTCGCTGCTGGCCGGGCAGCCCTCCGCCCCATCGATCTGCACGGGTGCTGCTCGCCTGAGCCACAGCGTTGGGCCACGCTGCCACCAGCTAGGGCTTGCCTGCCTCACCGCACCAGCCTCCCCGTGAGGCTTGGAGGCCCCTACCTCTCCTCCCTCTCTGGTCACTCCACTCTCTTCTCCATGTGATGTTTGCCCACGAGAGAGGCAAAGCTAGGAGACAAAAGGATGGAGGACATTGCTAGGTGCACCTGATGAGTTGCACACAGAGGATCCCAATGCTACTATTGTATCTTTTTTTTCGGTCACTGATCGGGGTTGAGTCACCCATCACCTGTCGACCTCGCGTGCTACTCCGACATCAGTGTCGACTACACCAGCCTCTACTTCTTTGACCATGAGGCCAGGTCGGGAACGCTTGCTGAGGGGACACCTTCGCATGGCATTTTCTGACGATCCATCCGCAAGTTTTCATTGTTGGTTCATCATTGCCTCTACAGATCGGGACGCTTCCGTCGGCTTCTTCCATCGTCGCTTTGCCTCATGCATACTCGGTCCGTACAACCGACTACATGTGATCCACCAGACTCCCATGGCATCTGTCGCCGAGTACTACACATCTTCTTCAAGCCCGGGTTGCTGCTATGGCACTTGATCGAGCTGCAGCACCGCTGCCCATGTCCCTAGCTGTTGCATATATATCGCTGTCCCCGGTGCATCAACGATTGTGTTGCGCAATCTCTGCTACGCCATCGTCTGCACATGGTCTTCGTCATGTTCAAGTCTTCTTCGCTGACATCGACCCGCGGCGCTGCTGCCGTACTTTGTGTATGGACTACTCGCCTTCGGGTTGGAGGTGTCTATTCCCACGTTACTTTTTATTCGTCCAGCACAACCACTCCTGGTTGGGGCCCCTCTCCCTTGTCCGTCCAATATTGGCAACATTGGAGCATGCTTTCATCCCCAACGCACTGATGGGTCTAGCAAACCCAGCCCACATCTCGATTCAGGCGGCTTGACAGCTTCGACCCTACCGTCCCCATGTACCTCGATTGCATCGTTGACTTTCTTCTACAACCACGATGGCCTTGATTGCGTCCACCTCGGCATCGCCCCCTCCCACGATGACTGCCTCGACGCGCTTCCATCACCACCATGGCCCCTCTTTGCGTCTGTGGCTTCACCACCTTGACATTGGTTACCTCCACTGCTATGTTGACCACAGCTATCTCTAGCCTGGCATCACGCTCGACTACCTCGACATCGGCACAAAGGGTTACTGCCTTGCATGAGGACTCATTGGCTTCTTCTCCAGCCACAGCTCACGCGATTATGTGAGAACTTTGAACATCACATAAATAATTATTTCTAATTAGAACCATAAGGGAGGAAAAAGTTTTACCAATTGCAGGCATGCAACACGGCCTACTGATTCTAACTTAATTGCTTGGTGGCGCCACGTTATGCTGTAACTAGATAAACACCACCAAAAAGGGTTTAATTATTTAGTTGTGTTGGTCCCTTGGTGGATTTGGAAGCATAGGAATAGATGTGATTTTTAGGGGCTTCTCCTAATTCTAGCCCCTTAGTACAAGAGAATAGAGGTGAGGCAAAAATGTTGTGTGTGACAGGGGCCAAAGGGCTTGGGCACATTTGGCCACAGTCTGGTCGTATGGGTGGTCTGATATTCGCCTTTAGTATTCTTCGGCGAGTGAAGCTTGCAAACCCTTTAGGGCTTGTATGAGTCTCTCATTTGACTCCTTTTTTTTCTTCTTAATATAATGATACGCAGCTCTCCTATGTGTTCGAGAAGAAACGGTTATGCTGAGGCAACTTATATTAGTAAACACAACACCTTCACACTTTTTAACACCATCCCCTCGGAAACCAGCTGGGCACTGGCATTTCCCATCTCCAGATTCCTGGAAAGGACAAAACGGGTTAAGAAGCAACAGACCGATATTCAGTAATAAAGCCATATATCATGTAACAAGTCCTAAACCTACCTGGCAAGCAGAGAATGTTTTTCCATTACGAGTTTCATGCCAACATCCCCCATGGTTTATCAAACATTTTCCTGGTCCAGCAGCTGCAAATAACATAGGTGACTATTATAAACTTCTTTATTACCTTACATAAATTGTTTAAACAAACTGTGCATGTTTCAATGCATGGCAAAAAGGGATGCATATTCCATAATTTAAGGCAAATTCATACCAAGGTGTGCAAGTTTACAATACTACAACATAATTAAATTCCAGAACAATGGTAAAATCTGTCACTGCTCAATAGCTCAATAGATCACTCGTACAAAACAAATAAAATATTTTATGAACTTAATCCATAGTGCACTAAAAGTTTTATTATCAGTGTTTACTGGACCCCATTTGACTTGTTTATAAGCGCATCTTTTGATTTGTATGGAATCTGGATTTTGAGCACACTGAAGAAAATGAAGGTGACAAGCTGAATAGACACTTTCAAGTGAAAACAGTTCTGCTAGCTTCACTCTTTCTTGTCGCTTCTCCTTACATCTCTACTATTACATCTCTACTATATGAAGTACGAAGTGTCTGTGTCGTCAGTGCACAAAGTTTCGTCCGTCGTCCGTCTCCTCCACCTCCCCTGTGCAGTCTCCGCGAGATATGATGATTGATGATCTCCTAAACCGCTCCGGCGCTCCCACGTCTCTGGAAAAACGCCTCCCTGAATCGCTCGTGCCTCCGCTCCAATGCGTCCGAAGAAGAGCAGTCCGCCGCCACAATATCGGAGGGGAGGATCCAGAGCCGTCACCCGTCGTGTCCAATCGCGGCCACTCCTCCCTAAATCGCGCGCCTCCATGTGCTAAGCGCCTCGACTAGGGCGAAGGATGCGGCGGCACGAGAATCCCGTCGATGAGGGAGGCAACCGTAAGTAGCGGGCACACAGGGATAGACAAATCAGGTGGTGGCGAGTTGGCCACCTCGCGCACGCGGCGCGCATGTCTTCCTGGTTGGTGGATGGATCACCGGCAACCCATCGTCGCTCGTGCCTTCCCATTGACGGCCGTGGCACAAAAAGCCCAATTTGCCTACGGCAGCAGCAGGCATGCCCGGCCGTCTGTTGACTGTTCGTGGCTGCCCACTGCACCTCCTGCCAAAACCTCCACGCCGTCACAGCCATCTCTCCTGGCAGGTAAATGTAGGGTTCATATTTATGCACGGGCACACTACCAAGATTTGTTCCTTTTGGTCTACTTTGATCATTACTTGCAATTTGTGGGGTTATATTTATATGCATGGCTGAGGCACAAACGCATTAATTTAATTTATGGTACAGCCCTGATCAATTAAATATTATTAGACATTTAACAAACCTTCGACGATATTCTGTAAAAAGATTTAGGGGGTGTTTCGTGCCCAGCCTTGCATTGCACGCCACGGATGCGGCTCGCCACAGAAAATCGGATGCTGTTTGGTTTGTGCGTAAAGTGAGCCTCGCCACAGGTTCATTTGCGCCAGCTTTTTTGCCACAAGTGCGGCGAGCTTTTTCTCCGCCACAAGACTGCGGCGCGCCACAGCCTGGCGTGGCATCCAAACAGCCCTTTACTACAGGCTCAAAATTAAGAATAAGGCTTGAAATAGTTCAGACTTTCCTATATATGGTCTCTGCCAATTTTTTTCCATTGGCTCATTGTATACATGAACAAATGATCGTAACAGTGCATAGCATCCTGCAGTTTACTTCTGACAAGGACATAGCAAAATTACCATGATATCCACATGGCTTAATAACTACACTAACCTCCATCATATTCATCCAACAGCCGTTCAGTATTGCCATCTTCTGAATATGGTAAAGCTAACATCACACTTCCTAAATGTTTGAATCCACAAGATTTGTATCGCCATGTTAGGCTTCACCAATCGAATGGTTGACCATCTAATGCCTACATATCTCAAAATTTTCATTGGTCTTAATATATTATCAGTTTATTAGTTTCAAATCTAATGCCTTTTTGAAGACGGACTCACTAACAAAAAAACTCTAACGTTCAAAATTTAGCGCAAGGGTGAGGGGGAACAGCTGTCCACTAATCCTCATATGATCAAGATTACCGTCATGTTGTCTTCAAGAGTTTCCATTGAATGATCAAGATGATCGTCATGTTTGGAGATTTGATGCTTCTGGGGTTTTTTCTTCCAAGTCTGCGTACAGAGCTTATTTCTATGGATCAGTGACCTTTGAACCTTAAAGCCGGTTGTGGAAGCCTTGGGCCCCGACAAAATGCAAAAATTTTCTCTGGTTAGCGATACGCAATAATGTTGGACAGCGGACAGGCTTGCTAAGAGGGGACTCTCTCATCCAGATAAGTGTCCTCTTTGCGATCAAGAAGATGAGTCAATACAGCATCTCCTAACAATGTGTGTAGTGGCAAGAGAGTTCTGGTTCAGATTGTTTGCTCCAATTGGTCTAGCTGGTTCTGTTCCTAGACAGAATGAAGGTAACTTTGCCAACTGGTGGCGCAAGACAATGAAAAGGGTGGAGAAAGAGCATAGAAGGGGAGTGAATTCTCTAATAATCTTGAGCGCTTGGATTATCTGGTAGCATAGAAATGCATGTGTGTTCGAGGGTGCTGCACCTTCGGTAACATCAATTATAAGGGAATTCAAAGATGAACATAGTCAAGCTGCAGGGTTTAGAGCTTGGTGGTAGAATCTAGTTTTCTTTGTAGCTTTGGTCGGGTCATGTTGTTTTTTGGCTCAAGTTTTTCGTCTTTATTTTGATGCTCAAACCACCTCTCATATTTGGTCCCCGTATGAGATCAGTGGGTTGTATGGGCACCATTTTCTTCTTCTAATACAATGAGGCGCAGTTCCTGCGTTTTCAAAAAAAAAGAAAACAAAAAAAAACTAATCCTTATATGGTTCCTTTTCAAGTGACAAGCTGGAAAAATAATTATTTTATATTCAAGGGTGTACGGAATGCTATTCTGATTGTCAAATTCTTCATGCCCAAGTTCAAAGTTTTTTTCATTTGATAAAGTTCGGAAAATCTTAGATGCAAAACTGATTCTATGCATGCCCATGCTGATCTGGGGCGCGCCGCCGGTGGGCGACGTGAGCACATGGACACGGTGCTGCTCAAGTTCATGCGTGTGCGACAGTTAAAGGTGGAGGAGGTCATGGCGATTAGTGGTCATACGTTTTAACTGTACATATGTCTGTGTAGTTCAATCAGTGGATGATGTTTGTGACATGGTTTTATAAAACTTGGATGCAGCAGTTAGCAAGCTGGCCTCTGTTCAATTTCCTCTATCTCAATTGTATTTCAATGCTATGCATGTCTCCTTGGATGACTAGAATCTTTGTATTTTCATGTTGATCATGTGTGCTCTTAGAATAGTGTTGTTTTATGGGGGTGGGGGGGGGCATGAATTGTGTTTTTATTGAGTTGATTCTTCATATTTGTCACTCATACATGATTGTTGTCCCGTTGCAACGCACAGGCACTCACCTAGTATATATACATACATAAAAAAAGGGGTTATGTTATTGAGCAAATCTGCTGCAGTAGGGGCATGAATTCGGTCAACTCTTGCTGTCTATCCTGGACCCTGTAGAGGTATGGCAATAGGCCATCCTTGTAGTGGCACACCTCAGCCATGTAGTAGTAGATGGGATGAGATCAGCCATGTAGTAGTAGTACAAGTAGTTGGCGTACTCACCATGTACTAGTGTACCTTGTAGTTGGTACTAGACTTGTATATATACCAAGGCAAAGGAACAAAGCAAATCAGATCAGTTTGCCACACATTCAGAGTCTCAGACTTGTGCTGTGTGCTGCGTGCTGTGTGCTGTGTGCTGTGTGCTGTGTGCTGTGTGCGTACTCTGTTCTCACCCCTTCTACCTCTAGTCGTGGGTGAGTGTGAGGGTGCTGGTCAGCTAATTGCTCACCCTTGCAGGGAGATCGAGGACCAACAAGTGGTATCGGAGCACTGGGGTGATCGCCGGCGATGGCCCAGGGCAACGGTGGCGCTTCAGGCAAAATGCCGGGAAGTCGTCGTGCAGAGGAAGAGGACCGTGAAAGAAGTTGGCAGGGCCAACTGGCCAGTCCTCACCTGCACAAACTATGGCAAGTGGGCGGTGCAAGTTGTGGAGCGCCATTGAGACCGGCACCGAAGATGAAGAAGACTGCACGGCGATAGAGGCGATACTATCCGCCGTGCCTCACGAGTACGTGGAGTCGCTGGGGAGCAAGGACTCCGCCGAGGCTGCTTGGGACGCCCTCAAGGCCATGCGTGTCGGCTCAGACCGCGCAAAGAAGGCAATGGCGTTCCGCGATGATGAACGGGCGCTCAGGCTGCAACCGCTTGTCAGTCAGCTGGCGACGCTTGGTGTCACCATCACCGACGAGGAAGCGGTCGCCATGTACTTGCGGTGGTGCCCGCCAAGTACACGCAGATCGCGCTCTCCATCGAGATGTTGATCGACACGACCAGTCACCCCTCACTCTCGAGGACAGGGCACTTGAAGGCGGTTGAAGACCATGCATAAACAGCGACGATGTCGGCCGGCGGCAAGCTGCAGCTGCCAGAGGAGTGGGGCGGCTCGTATGCGTGAGCGACGGTCCGAGGAAGGCTCCGGCGGCGAGGGAAAGCGCCGCAGCAAGACCCGTAGATGAAGGACGGTGACGACGTATCACATCCGATCGACAAGGACACTTGTCGACGATGCGGGAAGACACGGCATTGGGCCCGAGATTGCAAGAATCCCAAGGAGGAGAAGGAGCAAGCGCACCTTGCCATAGTTTGTGCAGGTGAGGAGCATGGGAAGCCGAAGCAAAGCATCTCCCTTGATGAGTCGCGCGCCCAAGTTCATCTCAGATGTGAGGGCAGCGGCGTGGAGCAGAGGTGGTACCTGGACTCTAGGGCCAGCAACCACATGACCAGCGACAAGGGCACGTTCACGGAGTTGGACAGCGGCGTGATCGGCTCCGTGAAGTTCGGTGACAACTCGTCGGTGGACATCCGCGGCCGAGGCACCATCATCTTCAGGTGCCAGAACGGGGAGCATCGTGTGCTGACAAATGTTTACTACATCCCAAAGCTCTGGTCAAGCATTGTCAGCATTGGACAGTTGGACAATCGCGGGTGCAAGGTCCTCATCAACAGCGGCGTTCTGCACATCATGGATCGCGAACGGTGACTTCTCGCCAAGGTACAGCGCTCCCGTAGCCACCTCTACATGCTTGACTTGAAGGTTGTGCAGCTGGTGTGCCTCGCGGCGCGGCACACCAAGGAGCCATGGCTGTGGCATGCTCACTTCGGGCATCTGAGCTTTGACGCGCTCGGGCGGATGATGAAGGAGCAGATGGTGCGTAGGCTGCCGCACATCAAGCACGCCGGCGAGGTACGACAGCTGCCTAGCGGGCAAGCAGAGGAGGCTGCCCTTCCCCAATGCAGCCAAGTACTGTGCCGGCGACATGCTAGAGCTCGTCCATGATGACCTCTGCAGGCCAATTACTCTGGCAATGCACTGAGGGCTGCGGTACTTCCTACTCCTAGTCGACGACTGCAGACGCTACATGTGGTTGCAGCTCCTAGCGAGCAAGGACGAGGCAGCAGCGGCGATCAAGACCATCCAAGCTCGAGCAAAGGTGGAGTCGGGGAGGAGGCTTCGAGTGCTGAGGATGGACCGTGGTGGCGAGTTCACCTTTGTGGAGTTCACGGAGTATTGCGCTAATCGTGGCGTGGCACGCCAATTGACCGCGCCCTACTCACCGCAGCAGAACGGCGTCGTGGAGCGGCGGAACCAGGCCGTCATCGGCATGGCGCGCAGCATGATGAAGGCAAAGCGCATGCCTGTGGAATTCTGGGAGGAGGCGGTGAGCATGGCGATGTTCATCCTCACCCGTGCGCCGACAAAGAGCCTAAAGGGCACCCTTCGAAGCATGGCACAGGAGGAAGCCCGACATCTCATTTCTAAGAATGTTCGGTTGTGTTGGCAACGTCAAGGCGACAAAGCCAAAGAACACGCCGATGGTGCCCCTAGGGTACGAGGCCAGCAGCAAGGCATACTAGTTGTTTGACCCCACGGGGCAAGGTCATCGTCTCGCGCAACGTCGTGTTTGACGAGAAAGCGGCCTAGGATTGGGAGGATCCGGGCACAGGGGAAGCTAGCAGGGTCAGGGGCACCTTCATCATCGAGCACTTGGTCATTCACAGTGATGGAGATGTAGGAGGAGAGGAGTCGGCTGCGGACGCGACGAGTACAGTAGCAGCGGCGGCTCTAGATGAGCCACCAAGTCCAGCCATGGCTGGCGCAGGCGAACAGACTCCTCCGACGGCGGAGCAGACGCCTCTACCACCATCCCCTACTCCGGCAAGCCAAGGGACTCCTCCGACGTCGGTCAAGTTCACGACTCCATCGAGCAACCAAGACACGCACGTCGACACGCATCATCAAGGTGAGGTGTGTTTCTGCACCATGGACATCCTCGTCGGTGGCTCTGCTGCTCCGGGATTGGCGAGCAGAGTGCTCGACGACGAGGAGCTGCTACTGATGAGCACAAAGGAGCCGCCGACGTTCATTGACGCCGAGCGCGATCAGAACTAGCGGCAAGCCATAATCAAGGAGTTGAAGGCGATTGAAGACAACGGGACATGAGAGCTCGTTGATCCGCCTCTCGGGTGTCGTCCAATTGGGCTCAAATGGGTCTAGAAGGTCAAGCACGGCAGCATTGCCAAGCACAAGGCACAGTCATCGCCAGGGGTTTCATCCAACAGGAGGGCATCGACTTCGAGGAAGTCTTCACACGGGTGGCGCGGATGGAGTCCGTCCACCTCCTACTGGCGCAGCGGCGGCGAATGATTAACGCTTCCATCACATGGACGTGAAGTCCGCCTTCCTTAACAGCGAGTTCTCAGAGACGGTCTCCGTCAAGCTAGCTTCAGGCTTCGCCCTCGAGGGGCAAGAGCACAAGGTGCTCCGACTGCGCAAGGCCCTCTACGGGCTGAGGCAGGCCCCGCGAGCATGGAATGCCAGGTTAGACGCTATGCTGGGCGAGCTCCGCTACGCCAAATGCACCACCTAGCACGCACTCTACATGCGACAACAGGGGAAGGAGGAGCAGATCATTGTCGATGTGTACGTGGATGATTTGATCATCACCGGCAGACGGGAGATCACTCGCTTCAAGCGTGTGATGGCGGCTCGATTTCACATATGCGATCTCAGCTTGCTCTCCTACTACCTCGGCATCGAGGTGAATTAGGGGAGGAGCGTGGTCACCCTGTGCCAGCTGGCGTACGCTGAGAAGCTGGTAGAGCGGATCAGCATGGCGGACTGCCAGCCATGCGCAACTCCGATGGAGGAGCAGCTGAAAGCATCGCGGTTAAGGTGGACGCGACAAACTACCAGAGCAGCACCAGCAGACTGCGCTACACGACTCACACGGCCGGACATTTCATTCGTCGTGGGCTACGTGAGCAGATTCATAGAGGATCTAAGGGAGGATCACTGGGCTGCGGTGAAGTGGCTCCTACGCTACGTCAAGGGGATGACTCACTAGGGTGTGGTCTTCCCCAAGACCAGCGGAATTGGGCTATGGCTCAAATGTTTCAGCGATGCGGACATGGCAGGCGACGTTGATGGGCCGAAGAGCACCTCTGGCGTGCTCGTCTTCATTTATTCGTCTCCGATCACCTGGTCGCGGAAGCAGAAGGTGGTGGCGTTGTCGACGCATGAGGCAGAGTACATCGCGACGGCCACAGCGACGTGCTAGGGCTTGTGGCTACACCGGCTGCTGGGCGAGCTCATCGGGGAAGAAGTTCACCCGCCGACTCTGATGGTGGACAATCAGCCCACCATTGCCCTTGCCAAGAATCCAGTTCTCCACAACCAGAGCAAACACATCGACATCAAGTTTCATTTCCTTCAGGATTGCATCGATGGAGGACAAATCGTCCTAGAGTTCGTCAAGACCGGCCGGCAACTCGCGGACATCATCACCAAGCCACTTGGGCGCCTTCAGTTTTTAGAGTTGAAGAACGAGATTAGCATGGTGGATCTCAAGTCTAAGGCTTAGCAGCAGGATTAGGGGAAGAATTGTGTGATAATCTGCTGCTCTCGCTCTTTATTTTGCTGCACCAGGGGTTAGACCTTTGGTTAGCTCTTGTTTTCCTCGTATTGCATTGTATAGGTATGGCAATAGGCCATCCTTGTAGTGGCATACCTCAACCATGTAGTAGTAGGTGGGCAGAGATCAGCCATGTAGTATTAGTACAAGTAGTTGGTGTACTCACCATGTACTAGAGTACCATATAAAGGTACAAGACTTATGTATAGAAACTGGCAATGCAATCGAGCATAGGATGTTAAGTTGCTACACATATTCAGAGTTTCAAACTTGCAGTCTGTGTGAGCTTTGTTATCATCCTCCTACCTCTAGCTGTGAGTGTGTTGGTGAGCTAGCTGCTCACCTGTGTAGGGAGATCGAGGGCCAACAGTACTCACCATGTACTAATGTACCTTGTAGTTGGTACTAGACTTGTATATATACCAAGGCAAAGGAATGAAGCAAATCAGTTCAGTTTGCCACACATTCAGAGTTTCAGACTTGCGTTGTGTGTTGTGTGCGTACTTTGTTCTCACCCCTTCTTTTATCTCTAGCCGTGGGTGAGTGCGAGGGTGTTGGTGAGCTGATTGCTCACCTGTGCAGGGTGATCGAGGACCAACAGGAATGAAACCAGATCGCATACAATCCCATTTTTTTTTCTCGGATCTCGGAACCGGATACAGATCATGCCGAATATGTCAGATATTGATATCTATGCCATATACATATCAGAAATGGATACGGTACGAATATTAAATGTTCGGATTCAGATATGGACTATCCACGTAGGGTTTTGACTCTTTCGGGACGGACGGATATCAGGAAAATATCCATCACGTTTTCATCCCTATTTATAGTTGAATGATTCTTGATTAGTTGACTATCGGTCTCCATCTTTTCTGGATTAATATCTTCCTTAGTTATCTTCATCTGTCATCTCTTTGATCAATTTTTTACAAGTTGTTCTATATTTAAACGGAAATTATGCATGCTAGTAATTCTCTCCAAGTGCAGTGTCTCACACTCCTTTTCAACCATTGACATTTTGCTTCCCTCCAATGGTATTTACCCTATTATCATCTATAGAAATAAAGGCTGGTTGTAACATTTTCTCAGTACTATTTAGCAGATTATCCTCTTTGATGATGGTTTAAATACCAAAGAAAACAATTCCTAAATGCCAAATTGAAATATCCTCTAGCTGCCATCTATCATATTTAAATAGCACATTCTATCATATTTAACATCCTCTTTGTTTAACAAGCTTTTGTTTCAAAATGCCCCTTCCAAAATGCAACATGTTAATATAGCTGACACCAAGGTTATATTGTTAACCATTTTAGAATGTGAGAAAATAGAACAAAAGACATTACGTTCACAATTGCTGTAGCCATCGCCTTTGAACTGTACGCCATTGAAAGTGGGGCATTCACACACTCTGCCACGGAAGGTGTCCTGAGTAAAAGAATGTTTAAATGACATTGATGTGAGAAAATAGAAAAATTATTCAGACATACACACATCAATGAATATATTGTACCTATCTACACATACCCTACATGCTGTTACATTAGCAGATTTGTCTTGCCAGCAACCCCCATTGTCATTCAGACACTCATTGGTCTCTATATCTGTTTCGAAACAGCTCAACAATTAGTAGCCTGCATATAATAAATTACTGCTTACTGTGCATTAGGTGTTAAATAGTTTTATTTGTGCTTACCATCACTCAGGCAAACATTTGGTTCAGTAGTTTCCTCGAAACCAGCACAAATAGCTTTGAGGACAGCTTTCCTCTCAAGCTTCCCTGTATTCCTTTTCCAGGTTAAAGTCATACAGAGTGGATGTAAGTTTGTATACCTGTGGAATATTTACCTCGATATTGCCGGTTGTTCACAACAAGAGTAGGCAATATAGTAACATCTCCTCTTGAACCTTTCCCAATCTATACAATATAACAGCACAAATTAACCCATAAATAATCAATGACAGTAAATGTTCAATGAAATAGTCTGTGTGACTGTTAATTTTTTTAAAAAAAAAATAAATCTATGGTGCTTTATTTTACTAATAAAAGCTCCACAACAAACTACGTAATACTAGGTCACTTCACCTGAGCATCTTGTTCCATTTTAAGCAACGGGTGGTCGGAATCAGCATTTGGGTCTCCCATGCATTTATCGACCTTCTTCACATCCAGACCTATTTCAAGTGTAAAAACATTACAGCTGTTACATGTATGTATACTGAAGTGATAAACCATTATATCTGCAAGTTGCATGTCTGATTACATGTCATGTTATGAACTGTGAACATCTGAACACTAATTCAAGTGAGAGTAAACAGAGATTAGCAAGTGGATGTCAAGCATGTTAAAAGCTTACAAACATGCTTACAAAAAATATATACAATGTGGATTCTTCAGTAAGGGAGAAAATAACAGAGCCAACCTAGTGATTTGATGACAGTTTCTGCACATTTTTTGTTGTACTTCTTCTCCTTCATTGGGCACCTTATGTGAAAATCAGTCACATAATCCCACCAGACCCATGGTCTCTTATTTTCATTTGCAACTTTAAACACACATAACTGTCTGAGGTTCTCTACCACCACATCCTTTCCTTCGTAGCCTGTGCTAAAATCTTGCTCAGGATCAGGTGCACAGTACCTCCCATGGTTTATGCATTGGGACTTGCACTGTTTACTGATGACAAATGCTTGAGGGCAGTACCAAGTAATGTAATGGGGCGTGAATTGGCTATAGCCACCTTTCTCAAGTAGTTGGGCAGCTCCTTTAAATTCCTTGAAAAAATTCATCAACATATCGCATTTAGGCCCGCACTCATCATTGCTGTTTGTCCATAACTCATACTCAACACGGTCATCTGGATGTGGAACAGCCTCCCTCCAATCAAGATTCACATTAACCATTTCCCCATCTTTAACAGCCTTTTTCAACTGGTCACCAAATTTTTTATCTATAAGTGCAGAAGGAATGGTTATGTTTTGTATATACTTTGCAGCCTCATCATCTTCACGAGGTAAATCCATTGTTATCAATGGTTCATCCTTGTCATCAACTACAAGTACTGCAGAGGCACCAGCATTTTGCGCATTCGAAACCTTCTTCGCAAATAGGCAGTCTGGAAAACACATATGGAAGAGGAAAACTAGATTACCATGAAGCTTGAGGAAATAAAACAGTGATGATGAAGATTAAAAGGAAATAAAGGATATATTTCAGAAGTTAATAGGGACGATAAGAAAAAACAGCTAATCTATATACCATAGTTTTTAAGGCGTCGCCTTGGCGTCCAGGCGATTTTCAAACCTGGGCGTCGGGGTTGCCACGACCTTGAGGGATATGGCGTCCGCAGTCGTCGCCTAGGCGCAATTTGGCGTCCCTTTTGCGCTGGGCGAACGTCACAGGCATGGAATCTTGGATGGCGCAGCGCGCAGGCGGGAAAAGGAGCGTAGTTTCAGCGCACGGGAAGTCGAGGGGAGTTCCGCGCACAAGGAAATCGCGAGCCTACACCCCCTGCGGGGCCATGACCCCTGGCCAGCACGTCAATTGAGGGAGGGGAAAGGGCGAGGGTGGTAGGGAAAGAGGGAAAAGGGAAGAGGGTGGCCAGCGTAGCACCTGGAATACACGATGGTGGCGCACTGCCTCGTCCAGCCACTCCTGCTCCATCGATTTGCGCTTCCTCCGCCGCCGCCGCCGATTCACCCCACCGATTCGTTCCTCCTCCCGATTCTCCATCGATTTGCGGCTACGATTGGTGCTTCCGTACGGTTCTGTCGATTCGTGCCTTCAATTGATTCTTCCTCCCTCCGCTCCATCGATTTGTGTCCCCGTCTGGCCCGTCATCGCAGGCTCGCGGCACACAGGTAACTCTTCCGCTCCCGCTCTCCCCTGTAGGCCTCTGCTCTTCTCCTTGGATATGCTCTGCCTTTAGGATTGCTGGTACATGGGCGAGGATTGACAGCAACAAGGTATGTTTGTGCTGCTCCATAGTAGGTTATAGTATGTGTATGGCGTCGCCTCACCGCACGCCTTACTCGCCTAGGCGTCGGGAAGGGGGTGGGTCGCCACGCCTCGCCTTATCGCCTTAAAAACTATGCTATATACTCTCATAAAGCTAAACCCCACTAGATGTTCTATCTCTTCATGCAAGGTGTCAACGTCATTTCCCCACTAAGTGCCCCACTAACTTGCAATTCTTTCATGCAAGCTATCCATGTCATCTCTTATTAATTACAAAAGTTGTCCATGTCATCTCATTATGTGCAATACTTTTAAGCTTTTAATCTATCAACATATAAGTCATCTACATATGTTATTTGTTTTATCATCCTATCATTCTAAAACGTGATCTAATATTCTATTAACTTTTTTCTTCTATTAGCTTACCGATTTTTACCAGATCCGATGCAATAAAATAGCATGCAAACCAAGCTCATATATATACAGAGTAGCCATGGTACCATATAGTAATCAATGAAAAACAAGGCGCGATTCCGCGCTCGCCTAGGCGCTAGGCGGAGGCTTCCCGCGGGGCCTAGGGGCTGAGGCGTACATCTAGGCGCTGGGCGCGCCTCCGCGGCGCCTAGGCGGCGAGTAGGCGGAGGAGGCGGCGCCTGGGCGGGAGCGCGCGCGCGCGAGCAGGCATCTGCGCGGGAAAGGAAGCGGACGCACGGGAAGGAAAAGAGCCCCGCGCGCCGGTGCTAGAGAGGATTAGAGAGACAGAAAGACAACCAAGTCAGAGAGTCAAGATCTCCTCCTCGACCCCTTGCCTCCGACCCGAGCTCGCTCGCCGGATCAATTCGCCGGCCACGGTACGTCTCCGGCCGATTCGTCGTGCGCGAAGCTTCTACTTGATGCCGTGGACCCGTTTTCCGCATCACCGGCCATCTTCTCCCTCCGTGCAGGCCGTCCCTGGAGCTCCCGTGCGCCCCATCCTCGCCGGGCCGCCACTGCTGGTGAGCTCCTCGCTGTCCCTCGCCCGGCCGCTCGGGAACCCCAAGGTGAGGTCTGCCCGCCCCCTGCTCCTCTCTCCTCTGCTCGGCTGCTCCCTTCTATCTTCCTGCTCTGTACGCCTGTGCTGTACTGTTGTGTACCTGTGTGCTTGTCTTCTGTATTTTAAGAACTGAATTATGTGTTGTTCTGTACCATTTAATTTTCTTTGCTGCTACTGTTATCCCTACATGTTTGTGGTTTCAAATGGCTATCATTTGTTGCTGATAATGTCTGATGGATAGGAAAGGGCTAAGATCATTAAGATAAGTACCTAACCTGCTCTTTCCTAGTTTTGTATCACTTGTATTGTTCATATGGTCTGCTGTCCATTTGTATTTAACTACTGATATGGTATGTTCTCCACTTGTATTGTTGTACGAACATCACATTTGTATTGTATCAACTATCAACTATGAACTAAGCATGAACATCACTTTTGTATCAACTAAGGTATGTCTATTGGACCTTTTCTCTTTTTATAAAATCCACTCGGCTACTATATTTATATAATTTATTCAGCTATATATGCTGAAATACAAAAAAGGTCAAAACGCCTAGAAAACGCCTAGGCACGCCTAGGCGCTAGGCGATGGGTCACCGCCTAGAACCCGCCTAGAGCCTAAAAAAACATTGATAGTAATGCTATATATACAATAAATTTATTCCTAAGAAAGTCTCGCAGCAACACGCGGGGTATTCTTCTAGTATAGCAGAAAGTCATGTGAGATCAGAGTCAAATTTTTTGGCACAAAGAGAAACTAATGCAAAAATAAGCCAGAGAATCAATAATTTCCTAGTAAGATATTTTTCTCAATTTACTCAATGCACAGCTAAGGTCAGATGGCAACGTAAAGCAATCAATGCAGCATTAGAAGACCAATTCATCAAAATGGTCTGCAGAACTCTTCACTCGTGCTCACTGCTTAGTACTACAACAAAATCTCTTGCATCACCATTCTGCAAGTCTATTCAGTAGCAGCATAAGCCTCTCGATGAACAGACCCAATTATCTGAAACCACCAATTTTGGCGTGTAGGCCTACAGGAGCCCGTATTCAGCATCCAATGTATGGATCCACCAATTTATTTTCTTAATAATGAAATGGAGACAATAAAAAACCTAATTCATTGTTACAATTTATAGTGGTGTTAACTTCCTCGCCAGAGAACTTAGAACATGCTAAGCTAGCACCACCTTTTTGTAGTATGCTACAACCGACAAAACCAACCAGTAATAATTAACCAATTAGTTTGCAGCAAAGGGCATGGCCCAAATCAGCCGCGCAAAGACAGAGATCGAGAGATCGGGGCCACTTACCCCCGCGGTCGACGAGGAGGAAAGTGGGCATCGCGCCAGGCTTAGCACGGAAGGGGTGCCTGCCGTCGAAATTGTCGCAAGCGTTGGCGTTGTCCTTAGGGTACACGACGGCGCCCGCCATGCTCCCGCCGTACTGCGGGATTCCGAAGTTTCCTATAGCGCTGTCGCGCCGTCCCCGCAGCGAAGTCGGCGACGTCACCATCAGACTGTTCTTCTCCACCACGAAGCGCGCCTCCACCGCCGCTGCCGACGCGAGCAGCGCCAGCAGCAGAAGCAGCAGCCGCCGAAACCCTAGCGCGGGCATCGCGTGCGAGCTCCGGCGGGGGCAAGCGCTTAGATCGAAGAGAGGCTCAACGGAATCGATGCGGATGCAGATTTTCTTTTCTTTTTATTGCCCCACCGATATCTGCCTCTCTGTCGGTATCGCACTCGCTCAACTCGTGGTTCGCGTGGTCAGCGCGAGTGGTGTGAATGCTGGTCGTAGTCAACTACTCACCGTGGACCATCGATTTTTGCCCAACCAAAATTATAGAAGCCAAAACTTTTTCTTGTCTAGAGCATCTTCTAACAGTGGACTAAATATATCTTTGCAGGCTATTATAGTTATGTGGTCAAAAAAAAAGTTATCCAACAGTCTTTCTATCTGGTCTTCTATTTTTCACCGCTTGCCATCTCGCAGTCGTCGCTGGCCAATTTTCCCATGCGAAACTCGCTTGCTATCCGTGGCGCCAATGGAATCCCGCGCGCAGGCTTCGCCTCTCCCGCGCTCGATTTCCTTCTCCGCGCCGCGGCGCCAATGGAATCCCGCGCGCAGGCTTCGTCTCTCCCGCGCTAGATTTCCTTCTCCACGCGCTAGCCTCTCCCGCTCCCACGTGCGCCCCCTGTCGTGCTCCTGTTTTTCTTCCCATCCCGTGCCGCTTCTTCTCAGTACCTGCGTCTTTCTCTCTCCACGACGCGGATCCCTTCGAGGACCTCGGAATCGTGCCGAGGCACCATGTCGCAGGCACAATCAGAAGGGGATCTGATGTCTGCGAGCCACGGCCATGGGGACCCCAATTCTTCTGAGCTCCACTCGTTCCCCATCTTCTCGGTGGCCAGCGGTTGGGAGCAACAGCAGTTGCCATCGTTGCCTTAGTTGCAAAGTGCAGGGGTACCTGGGCTACGACGTGGAGTTCTTCCTCCCAATGCTGCCCCCGATGCATCGGCCCCTTGTCTGGCATGTATTCCGGTGAGATCCAAATAGCTAGATCCAATTTTTTTGTTTTTTAATAATCAAGCCTACTCGAAATGTACATGTAAGCTCAGATGCAATTTGTGAATAGCTATTTATTGCGAGTACTTGTGAATGAAAGCATTCTTGGCAATTACTTGTGAACTCAGATTTGGTGAGCTCTGAATCATGAAAGCATTGCAGTAAAGTGAAGATAGTGATTGTGCATATTTACAAATTTATTTATTGAACTAGAGCTTGTTTATTTCAACAAGTTTAGTAATTTTATTCTATGAATAGTATGTTACCCTCTTCCCCGTGATCATCCAATTGCAGAATTGTGCATATAATGAGTTGAGGTAGAGTTTTCTAAAACTTGTTCAAGTGTCGGTCTAATTTGCTATCAATAGTAGATTTTTATTCTTCATTTTTTTTCAGTTGAAACTCTCTAGCTCTGCAGCACATTGAATTTAGTCATGTTCATATGCAGCAAATAGGGCTTTTAATTTTTTTCTATACCACATCTGGAATGCTTCAGTTTTACCTGCTTGTTGAAATCATATTTCAGTCTATGATCTTGATTGTCCCTGTGGTATTTTTTCACAGGCGCCATGGATTCGAAAAGATCTTTTACCGACATAATTACAAGGGGTTATAATCCTGCTGCTTTGTTTGATAATGTCCCAACTCCTATTGAAACGCCAGCATGTGATGAGGCCCTAGCAAGTGTGAAAGGGAGTAAGAAAAGGTCCAAGAATTTCAGTAAAGACGAGGACGAAATGTTGGTCTCAGCGTGGCTAAATGTGAGTTTGGATCCCGTGCACGGAGTTGATCAATCACGTTCGACTTATTGGAAAAGAATATATGATTATTTTCATATCAACAAGACATTTGATTCTGATCGAACGCAAAGCTCCCTAATGAGCCGATGGTCTGGTATTCTACATGATGTGAACTTATATGTTGGTTGCGTTTCAAAGATAAAGGCTAGAAATCAAAGTGGTTTATCTATCGCTGATAAGGTAAGATAACATAACTTGCCCTTCCAATTGTATATGATGTTTCTCTATGTCATGCAGTCTCTATGTGTTTGAATTTGCACGAAAAAAGGCATTAAAAATGTTAAGTCTGAGGATAAACAACACCGGAATTTCCCTTACCTCCATTGCTGGGAAAAATTGAAAGACAAGGCCAAGTGGAAAAATAGAAGCAATCAGAGTGGAACGACTTCAAGGAAAAAACAAAAGACCACGACGAATTCAAGTCCTGCAATGGCTGCACAATTAGTTGTCACTGCTAATGGTGAAGAGAGTCAGGCAACAATGCCTACAGTGGACAGACCTACAGGGACGAAGAAAGAGAAAGACAAATTACGATAACGTTCCAGCATCGAAGCATTGGATTATCTGTTGGCAAAGAAGAAAGAGGCTGACATAGAGAAGGATTTGAAGAAAGAGGAGAGGTGCAAAAAAGCCTTTGCATTGCAGGAAGAAAGGATCAGAATCGAGGAAGAAAGAAACAGAATCGAGGAAGAAAGGATCAGACTTGAGAAAGACAAATTTGAGTTTGAGAGGAACCTCGAAGAAGAGAGAATTATGAATGTCGATACGAGTACCATGTCCACCAAACAACAGCTATTATATGAACAACTCCAGAATGACATACTTGCACGACGTATAAAAAATTAGATAAAACATTGATTTATGTAGTGATACACAATTACTGTTTTCTTAATTATTTGAATCCGTTGGATTGATACAGTATCATATTGTGCTGGTTGTATACAGCTGGATTATCACATTTTGTTACATACCGTATCATATTTCTTAAACATTTGCATACGACTGGTTGTATTTAGAGGTGGCCTTCACACATATAAGCCAATCTGAAATGTAAATAAGCCAACAACCAAGCAATGTAAATAAGCCAATCCGAAATGTAAATAAGCCAACAACCAAGCACATTATCTTTTGTATTAAACACGGTCACCATCGTGTAGGAAACAATAATTATAAGCATAACATCGTTACAGTCCAACGACAAATGAAATCAATCATTAATAGTATTATTGTATAAATCTAGATAATTTTACCACAAGTGCTCAATAAGATCGGCCTAAAGTTGTGTGTGTGTTTCCCAGTCCTTGATGTTCTTGTAATTTTGAATGAAAGCATCGAGCTCAGGGGTGCTATCATGGGATACTGTCACCTTTTCTCCCATGTCGTCGTAATTGAAATAATCTTCATCATCCCCCTCATCCTCAACAATCATGTTGTGCATAATGATACAAGCGTTCATGATTTCTCCAAGCGTGTCCTCATCCCACAAACGAGCTGGTCTTCGAACAATAGCAAAGCGAGCTTGTAGAACCCCAAACGCTCTTTCAACATCCTTTCTACATGCTTCTTGTGCCTTAGCAAAATATTTCTTCTTGTTACCTTGAGGTTCTAGTATGGTCTTCACGAAAGTGGCCCAAGATGGATATATGCCATCTGCGAGATAATAACCCATTGTATAATTGTTTCCATTGATGCTATAGTTAACCTGTGGACCATCACCTTCAGCAAGCCTTGCAAAAACAGGAGATCTTTGGAGAACATTGATATCATTATGCGAGCCTGACATCCCAAAAAAAACCATGCCAAATCCAAAGATCTTTACAAGCAACCGCTTCTAGTATAATTGTAGGATCCTTTTTATGCCCCACGTACATACCCTGCCATGCAACAGGGCAATTTTTCCAGGTCCAATGCATGCAATCTATGGAACCAAGCATACCTGGAAAACCTCTTCTCTCACCAATTGCAAGCAATCTAGCTGTATCATGTTCATTAGGCATTCTCATGTACTCATGCCCAAATATATGAACAACAGCTCTGACAAACCTTCTCAAACTCTCTAGAGCAGTACTCTCACCAATACAAACATAGTCATCCGTAGCATCAACCGCTACTCCATAAGCTATCATCCGAAATGCCGCCACAACCTTCTGCAAACAAGATAGTCCTAGGGTACCAGCTGCATTTCTCTTTTGCACAAAATAGTCGTCATGCTCCTCGACAGCATTTATTATACGGACAAACACATGACGCCTCATTCAAAATCTATGCAAGAAGACAAATTAATTAGACGAAAATCGAATGCATATACAAGGTATAATTGAAAAGAAATATGGGGTACGTACAAACCTGCGCCTGAAATAGTTTGGCCCATATGTAGGATCATCTGAAAAATAGTCTTGATAAAGTCTCACGTGCCCTGACTGTCTATCACGATTTAATACACGATGTCCCTCAACGGAACCACGATGATGTGGTTCATTGCCAATATTCGTTGCTACTATGTCTGTAGCGGCAATATACAATTCATCGTCATCACCCGAAGATGATGAATCCACCACTTCATTCAGCAGATTGAACTCAGCTTCAGAATCCATTACACACCTACAGCTCTAGGGCAAAGGGATGGATTCACCTGACAAATTCTGAATGCATGAAGTGCTCACTGCGGTTGCTGCTCGGCTCCACCGTCACACCGAGTGGCACGGCCAGGCAGGGACAGTCATACCAAGTGGTGCGCCGCCAAGGGCTAGGCGTGCGTTGTGAGCAGACCTAGAGGCGGACATGCGTTGCGAGCAGACCTGGCGGCGGATGTGCGTTGCGAACCAGACCTAGTGGCCAAGGACTGACCAACCATCTTGGCCCATTTAAATATAGAAAAGGAGCATCTTTAGCTAGGCTGTTGTAGCACTCCTGTTTTGGAGAGGCTTTTCTATTTTACATGATGGCTAAATCAAGAGATTTAGCATTTATTTTTAGCTAACCTGTAGGAGATGCTCTTAGAGTAAAAAATATAGGTGTATATTTGGTGGACTATCCTAATAATAATACGAAGCACTTTTTTCGCTTATGCAGTTTAAGAGCTTTTTAGAAACTTGTCAAAATTTTGGCTATAAATATTGGCATGCCAGCTCTTTGGCAGTGAACCAATTGATGACTACAAATTTTGGCATGCCATGGTTTTGATTAAGCAAAATTTGGTAGCCAACCAATCAGATCCTAGGGGCATGCCATGCAATTGACTCTATGACTAATGCACAACGTGCTTATGTTTGCGATTCAATTTTGGCTCAACAAAGCAGGAATATCGCACGTTTCAAAATGCTGCGTGGCAAGCTTTTCAGGCTTCCATCGAAAGGACCATATGCTAGGACCTATGAAGCTTGTTGCCTAGAGCATCCACATCCTCAGATAATATTGATGGTGAAATCATGCGACGCGCCGAAGCTCTGTCCAAATTACTCGAGCATCAAAAGTTCATAAAAAGGACTCGAGGCGAGGGAGATATGCAGAGCAAGCTGCCAATGTACTTACAAGGCGTGCTAGCTTAAAGCAAAGGGAGATGGCAATACCACCTGACTCCACGTCTAGTAGGGTACGAGGGGATGCTTCATCAAGCCATGTTGGTGGCACCCAAAAAGAAATAAAATCAGCCACTCCAAGAATGGAAAATACAACAACGCTAGCTTATCGGCCTCCTCATAAAAGAGCCTCAAACAACCGTTTTGAGGTATTCTCTTTGATGCCGGTGAGTGTTGAGGAAGCAGGCAACACAAGTGATGCTTCCTCTGCTTCTACACACTTCAAAAGAAAAGAAGCCTCGCAAACAAATTCCGCTCTCATCGTCCAGTGACTCGAAGCCTAACAAACTCCGGCAATTCAAAAAAATCATGCGATCTATGTAGGGTCTTATAATCCCCTATTTGATGATCATTCTAATTTTGAAAATGAATTAGTGGTTATTGCAGGCTCGGCTGATCCAAACCCACTAAATGTTGAAGATCCACAAGCCCCAAGTGATGATGACTCTTAATCTCCGTATAGTGAGAGTGAGCCTGCTAATGATTACTCACAATCTCTGCATAGTGAGAGTGAGCCTAGAAATGCTGAACAAGTGCTTGCCACAAATCAAAGTCAATCCATTGAAGAGCAGATGAACCAAATGATGGCTGCCTTACAACCGAAAGAAGAAGAGTTGGCCGCGTTCCATGAGTAGGTGACCAACACCAGAAATCGTACAAATTGTGTGAATGCTTCGACTAGTCATAATGGTCCCCATACCCAACCTGAAAATCACACTCAAAGCCATACAGAGGATGACTTTCGAAGGTGTAAGGGCTCAGTATATGCAAACACATTCCTCCACGCGTCCGAGGTATGTGAAAACCATATCGATCGGAGGTGGACATGGTACCATTTCCGAACAATTATCGTCAACCTCAATTTAGTAAATTTAATGGAATTGGGTCACCACATGAACATGTGGCCAATTTCCTTGCTGCGTGTCAAGATGCATCACACAATGGAGCTCTTCTCCTCCGTTAATTTGTACAAACATTATCAGGTCCAGCTTTCACATGGTACATCAAGTTGGCACCTGGCTCCATCTGTACATGGAAACAAATGTAGGACGCCTTCCTAGAGTGCTTTTATAGCACTCAAAGGACGGTGGGGATAACTGAGCTGACTCAAACCTTACAGAGGCCAAATGAGAAGGCCACAGATTTCATCAACAGGTGGAGGAATTTAAGCCTCCACTGCCCATAGCCAATCACCAAACCAGAAGTGGTTCGTATGTGTATGAATAACTTGAGCCTAGACATAGCCATTCACCTACAGGGTGTGAGGCCAAAAACTTTCAAAGAATTGTCCTCAAAGGCCACAGACATAGAGAATTATATGCATCACATGTCTCATCCGCCAAGGACATTCAACAAAGCGCCATTGGATAAAAACAACCATCGAGATAAGCCAACATCTTCTAAGCCGAAGCAAACGCAGACCATGGAGACAACGGTGATCCCCCAAAAGTTCCAAACTAGGGGCACCATCACAAGATTACCAAACAAAGGGGGTGCACCAACTCCTAGGAGGCCAACTCTTAGCAAGCATCAAAATTAGAAGTACTCCTTTCCCATCGAAGAAGTGGAGGATCTCTTCATGGGCCCCCGAGAGTTAAAACTCATTGAGCTCCCTAAACCAAAAAGACTAGAAGAAGCTTCTAAATTGAATGAGCCAAATTTCTGTTACTTTCATCGCATCCTAAGTCATACGCTTGAGGATTGTTTTGTGACTTAAAATATTATACAAAAGCTCATAGATGAAGGCACCATAGATGTGGATTTTCTCAAAAACATGAAGAGTGGAAAGAAAACGGTTACGTCAAATGTCACCACCTTTCAAAATGATCTGGTGAGTTGTGCAACTCCAAAAATGTGGCCAACTTATGATCAATGTATGATATAAAAACCTGAGCATGTTAATATGTCTTTCTCAGGACATCCGCAACAGCAATCTAAACACTGGCATGAAGGCAAGGA